AAGTATCTTTTTGTTCAAGACAATGACTTTAATTTGTCTATAGGATTTTAGGCATTTGTTTAAGCCAGTAAAAAGAAATGATGAATACTTTTTAAACTAGTTGGTTTTCATTTCGTTAAAATCATAATATCTCTTATCATTTGCTTTACAGATGCCCTTCTTCAAATCATGTTAAAAGACATCCTATTTCAGTTTCAAAAAATTAAAAATATTCATACATTTTTTCATTTTTTTTCTTACACATTCAAGTATGTCCTTCATATTTGGCATTTTGATTTATTAGGCAATCTTAGTATTAAAGACTTTTAGCAAAGAAGGTCTAGATTTCAAATGCACTGGGCATGGTGTCCATGATGAATTAATTTCACTAGAGCACAAAAGTTATCATTATTTAAATTATTTCTTTCAGATTTTATATCATCATCAACTTTTCAAAATGAGAATCTAGCTAATATTTATATATATATATATATATATATATATATATATATATATTGTTGCTTATGTAGGTTTTCCTTACCCTTTCTTCTGTGATTCTGCATAGAGATATTCAATAATGTTTAATATTGAGAATTTAACCATGATTAAGATACATTTGAGAATATATGAAAATTTTCAATAGATGGCTGACTTTGCTTTAAATATTTTATTCAAAATCCTTTTAAATTAATATATATTTTTGGCAAATAAATAAGACACTAGGTGCTGGACATAAAATACCTCAATGTAACTCTAAATAATTTAGGAAAATTAGAAATAAATAGTTAAAAACTTGTTATGTGTACTGTTATTTTTCTTAATTTTTCAGGAAGTCATTATTTTTCATTTGTTTATTGTGATTGAATGGGAAAGGCCAAAGCAAAAAACAACAATAACAAAGCTTGCTTAATATTAAGACATCAAAAGAGAAGGAAATGTGGTAGGAGATGGGGGCTATTTTTCCCTTCTTTCCATCCGTGACCTACATAGTTGGATGGATTGACTGACTGATCTGAGATTCATACACAGACACATGTATATGCATACATGCAAGGGTGAAAAGTGGGCAAGAGGAAGGGAGGGTGAAGGTGAAGAAGACAAGAGAGAGGAAGAGAGAAATGGTAAGAGAGAAGACGATGTTGAGTAAGCACCTAGGACCAATAGTGTCCCTGGTGGTGGTTAGGATAACACAATTAACCATGCTTACCCAGGTCGAGTTTCGAACTTTTCAGTGTTGCAGCAAATGCAGAATAGGATATATGCAAGCTTATGTTATTGCTCTGGCATATAACTGTGTCACATGATACAGTTTTATATCAATAGAACATATAACTCTTAAGAGGAAAAAATAAAACCAACAAGTCTAGTGTTCAGTACTACCCTATCATAAAGTAAGGAGGTCTAATTGAGCTATGTCTTTATATCCTGCTATTTGTACAAATAAAAGACTACATCTTGATGCAAAATAAACACAAAAGCACTGTTGTGACTATAACAGGGAGTCATATACTAATTTATATAATAAGTGGTTGTGCACGCTTTATTCAAGATTATGGCTGCAAGAAATGGCATGAATTGCTGGGTGTGTTTAATGCTGGATTATAGCAATTTGAAACATGTCAAACACATGGCTAATGCCTCATGCTTCACTCATTCTTGCGTAAACCTGCATAGCCACCATCCATTATACCCTTGGTAACAACACAATTCTGCAAGTAAATATTGTTACACTAAGTAACCTTTCAATTCAAGTTGTTTAGGAAGAGAAAATGCAATCTTGTGCAGTCAGTTCCAGTGTCAGTTTAATGTTTCAAAAGGGAAGTGGTGTAGAGAATAAGTATCTGTACAGTGACTTGCTTAAAAAAAAAAAGAAGAAGAGAAAGAAAAAGGAAAGAAAGGGAAATTTCATGTAGGGAAGAAAAGTAGAACTGTGTCTTTTGAGTGCAAAATCTGAAGAGTTAATTTCTAATGTGGCTAAAAGTTGTGTATGATGAAAGACTTGGGGTTTAACTTACACTTCAGACAAACATTAAAATAGCGACTCCCAAACTCACCTTTCTCTTTAATGACCTGAAATTTATTTTCACTGATTTTTGTAAAATGTTTGTGGTAGGATTGAGAAGAATGAATAATTTAGTTTGATATGTTTGGAATCACAAGCACATTCACTCTGAAAGAATATGCTGAATTTATAATTATTTAAAATATACTTAAAAGGTAAACATCACCTCATGTTGTGTTAGAAATATTTCTTCTAGTGGGAAATAACTGTGATTTATGTTATCAGGAGAAACCTCGCAAATGCTAGGAATCAACTATGCTATTTGCAAAGAAATGTCTCCTTTATAGTGGACACACTCCAAGGCTTCTTTATATGAAATACACATTATAATCATCTAATTGCACAGTTACCCTCTTTATGTTCATATTATTGTTGGGTCAGATGTGCCTGTTTTGTAGAGCAAAAGTATTGTATCACTGTTACAGGTTTCTTAAGCATTCTTTTTTACTAACTCTTAAA